AAACATGTAATGTACAATGGCCTAGACCTATGCCCTAGGTAAATCGAAAACCTAGGCTCTGATACCAAGCTGTAACGGTCATCATAGGCTAAGCTACACCATGGACTCTAAACCTCTTTCATTCTTGCAATGGAAGATGATAGACTCATTTCCCACAAGGCACATATAAGACCTATGACCTATGCCTTGATCCCAAGCTGTGATGCCCCTAAAACTAAAAAGTCATATGTCAATATGTTGATCACCCATCAACCCACCAAAGTACTTGTGAATGCTGCATAACCAGACACTACGATATAACATCCCCTTCACTGAGATCATAAACAACATAGAGTTTGGGTAGAGTCTCCTTTGTACCAAACACTCCCAAACGTATAACATGTGCACAATTCAATTACTTGATCATTCCAAGGTCCAATATACATTAATTTGTTCTTAATATTACTTCATTTACATTATCTGAACAAAAGGACTCAAGGTCTGAAGGCTTGACAAGATAATTTTAAATTTCTGAAAATTTAAGGGGATCTACCGGTAGAAGTCAGTGTTCTACCGGTAGAAGAGCTCACTGGAATTCTTCTACCGCTAGATAATCAACGTTCTACCAGTAGAAGAGTTCTTTGAAATTCTTCTACCGGTAGATAATCAACCTTCTATCGGTAGAAGAGCTCTCTGAAAGTTTTTTACCGGTAGCAAATCAATGTTCTACTGGTAGATCAGCCCAATTTGCCCCTTATTCAATCCTTTTTCAATTTCAACTCATCCAATCTCATACAACATTCACTTAAACTCATATAACATCAAATTTTACACAAAAAATAGTTCATATGAGTTCGATTTACAATCCTTTATACAACATTACATATCAAAAACTAATTACACGATTGTTTTACAAAAATATAATCTAAAGCCACAACTCGACTTTCTTCATCAACAAGGTCCAAGTGAGAGCCGTCCACTGACACTTGCCCCGCACCTGAAATGTTGTCCCCATAAAGGGTGAGCCATATTTAATAGGGTATCTCCTAAAGAGGTTATTCCCCTACCTAGATGCATATGAGATGTTCACATGACAATTTAACAATCAAACAAACATTCATCCAAGAATATACAACTTCAAGAATTGAATGTCACAATAGCTATGCCATGTTATAAGGTGAAACTTACACATGCAATGCAACCTGAGCCTTCACCGGCTCCCATAACACATACAATGTCATGCGTATGAATTCGAGTATTCTAAGCCCCCTCCATTGATATTACACATCCAATGGCCATTTATAAATACCGTGTCTTTCTTAGAGTCGGCATTTATGGACTTACACCAACGGGCACCCAATTGACACAACATTTATGGACTTCCACCAATGGCTCTGCATACACCAACACACTTTATGGACTCAATATCAATGGAGTGCGTATCCAAATCACCGGGTCTTGTACCCGAGGGACAATCTAGCCCTTTTTGTTAACCCCAACCCTATTTTCAATGCAACCCGTGCGACTCAGTCGAACCTTGATCCAACTATCCTGAGCCCACACATCATCCACCAAGAATGGTGTTTGATAAAACCATGCACACACCCACACCCATATCATATGCCCATGAGTGTGATGCTTCCTGTGCTTATGCAATGTGATGTACAATTGTAATTCAAATATCATGTTCATCATATCATGAGAGTAGCATGACATACACCATTTTCACCGTGTCAATTATATCATTTTCAATGAATCCAACATGCTAATCAACATATGTATTTTATCAAACACCTTTAAGGCATAATTATAAAGACATAGCATGCCCAATCAACACATTTCTTATGAAATTACCAAAACAAGCAATTTCACCAAAAATCCAATTCATGCAAAAATTGGTTTTAGCACATTTCTATATCATTTCTCATACTCTACCTACACTAAAAATACATTTAAATAAGGGATTTATCTCAATTCATGCTACCCACTCCTTACGAAACCCTAGGTTGAAAATAAACCTAGTTGGAAGAAGAATCATACCTCTTGAAGGGTAATACGAGTGGTAGAAAATTCCCTAGGACCCAAATCAAGTTTTGAACTTTGATTTCCAAAAATTTCATCTTTTAGATTTGTCAAAATCCGTGCTTTTTGGTACGTAGACATAGCTCTTGTTGCGCAGATCAACTTTAGTTCTTGGCCCGAATCGATTCGACGAACGGTTGACCATAGATCATTGAGAGAAGTTTGAAACCCACCTGATTTTCCCTTTCTTCTTCTTCTTCTTCTTTTTCTTTTCTCTCTCTCTCTATTTGCAAATTTGAAATCCACTGGATACTTGTCCCATGTTGCGCCACACGTTTGCCTTTACTAGGTTTGATTTCGTCCCGAATCAATTAAATCTCATCTCGTTTCATGTTCAATATATTTTTATTTGAACTAACTTTAAATTATTTTTCATATTTCATAATTAATTTTAAATCGCGTTTATTTTGGTCACTCGACACCCGATTATCTTGTAAAACGTAAAAAATTTGACTGTCTCAAAATTCAACGAAAATTGACTAGATAACTAGATTTTGTGAGATAAATCCAACGGTGAGGTTTGTTTTGTCAGCCGAATTCTAGAAAAATTCAAATTTTCAACCTGTGTCGTAGCGGCTAATTACCGTTTTGCCTTTTTTCATAAAAATTCAAAATTTTTCTAGGATTTACATTCCTATTGTTTCAAGTATGAAACATAACTTAATGAATGCTCGTTTATTCATCCTAAGTTGAGAAACACATATGTCATCACTCGTATAAGCATAGTCCTAGACAATCGCCCTCCTTGCAAAGAAGTCAATGTGATACTGTTGATCTCTTAATGTTTTTTCTCTTATATAGTAAAAGATGACAATAGACATCATATGAAAAAAAATAATTAACTAAATGCATGATATTGGTTCACAACACAAATAATGTAGTTAATTTCTTCTTCCTTATTGTTTTCCTCTTTGCTAGACTTAAACGAGCCATAATTGCCACAAAAATTACAAAGAAAAAATCAGCATCTAGGATATCACAAACACAACCAAAAAATTAGATTTGCTAGCTAGAGGTTATGTACTATTATAAATAGATACAATGAAAAAAACAGAGGAACAAGTGAAGGGTAAAAAAATATTGTTTTCCTTCTTGCCGGCATACGCANGCTATTATAAATATGAAAAACACAAAGGAACAAGTGAAGGGTAAAAAAATATTTTTTTCCTTCTTGCCGGGCATACGCATGTAATAGTAGAACATAATGCAGGATATAAGATATTTCATGACGGATTTAGTGGAAGAAGAAACATAACAAGCTAGATGGCCTTTGATAATTCAGTTTCTGAAACTTAAGTCTCTCAAACAAAAAAAAAATTCGCCACAAAGCAAAAAATAGAAGATTTTCTGTTAGCTCCTAGACACAATTTCACCATATCCTAAGCATTTCGTATCATTGGCTGCCATGTAAAATAGATGTTAAACATATTACAGATGAAACTGCAGGCATGAATTCCACTGATTCACTCGGCCCATTTCCTATTGTCTCTTATGAACATTATTGTTGTCCACAAATTTTCCTTGGAATACTTTTTAATAAACTCTAGGAATAGTATGAATAGTTGTATTAGTGGGTCTATGTTACGTGCACAATTTTGGATGATTTGTAAAACAAAGAAAAAATAGAATCGGAAAATAAAACCTACTTTGAGGGGGTTGAAAACTTTCGGTGGTTCAATTCGAGAAAAACCGGATCTCCAAAATTTCTACGAGAAAAATTTAATATAATATTCAAGATATCTATTTCATTGATAGGAAAACCTTTAAATACAATATAATAAAAACTACCTTAGTAACTAACCTAACCAATGATTCCACTATCTTAGTAACTACCTAGGGAACTATCTACAAAATACTCTATCATTAACCCACTTACTAAAATAATTCCCTAATAACTACCTCAAATACTACATAAAAAATATATTAAAAATTTGCACATAACATTCCATTTCCCTTTTAAACAAATTTTGTACTCAAAGTTTGATTATCATATACACTGGGAGGCGGCCAACCCACTTCCTTGTTCTCGTAATAATCAACGAGATATTTGGCTTCATAGACTCCTAAAATACCACGATCATGATCCAAAGGGCTGAATTTATATGAGCAGCTTGAACATGCTTCATCAATTGCTCGTCCTTGTAATACGCAATGTCATATTGCACAACAACCATTGGTGAGCTATCTTTAAGTGGGAGTGAGTTCTCTGATAATATATATATATATATTTTTTGATCACCTACCCTAAGAAAAAGTGGGACCATTATGTATGAGACTGCTCACTCATTAATTATATATGATTTATCGAGAAGAGAACTAGAGGAAACAAATATTGGAAGGGATTTGACTCCCTGCATGACAGATATTCGATTCTTCGACTCTAGTAGAGTACATATAGGTGATTTTGATATATTTTCTGAACAGTAAATAAGTCTACAAAATAAAATCAAATGAAAATGGATGTACATGTCCACTTCCTCCAGAAATATGGTTCTTCTTCACACATTTGCTTTGTGATGTATATTGTATCAGCAAACTGGTATTGTTGCCATTTACCGTGCAGCACATATCAATGTTCGCCTTGCATATTCTCCGCCCCATTTGACCTTTAATGCTTACATGATTATTGAGTTTTTTTTTTTGGTTGCTTTCGTTGGATTAAGTACAGATTAAACTAATCTGTACTTACCCAAAAAAAGGAGCTAATCTGCCTATTGTTAAGATATAAACACTTGGATATAGATATCATATGATCTTTTCATGGCTAGTAATAGAACTTTGAACTACCAGTACTGTACATTGTCTGAAATATGAAAATAACTATATATCCAACAATTTGTATAAGAATTTAATAACCTAGCATCACACAACATCCGTACTTGTACATGATTTTTTACTCAGAATAATCGAAGAAACCCATACAATTACACGTTCTTGGCTCACAATCTTCTGTGTGTTCTTATGAAGTTGGTTGTATTCATTGAAATTGCGGTTGAGCACATGTACACTCCAGCCAAGCACATGGTCGTTGAAAACAAAAGAAGGGCCTTCCATTGCCTTCCAGATATTAAAATTGCCAATGCAGTTGACACGAGAGCGACAATAGAGAGGGCATTTTTCCATGCTCGAAAAGCTTTAACAACATTGCTGCATCCCTTGCAATGTATTACATGTCGAAAATATCTGTTCGCGAGGTTTGGTGCATGCATTGTTCCAATTCCTCCCTTTGCCGGTAAAGATGCTGAAATGCTTGCAAACAAGCCAGCTGGTGCGTGTTCCACCACAGCAGGCTCTAAGGGTGGTGAAATGGTGCTGTGCCCAAAATGATAAGGCATGCCATGCCCAACTTTGTCCATCCACTTCCTGTACTCGACCACCCATGTATCCGAGGACCTTAAGTTAATATACAGTTCCTTTGTGGGAACTCTTTCTTTGATTNCTGCAGGCATGAATTCCACTGATTCACTCGGCCCATTTCCTATTGTCTCTTATGAACATTATTGTTGTCCACAAATTTTCCTTGGAATACTTTTTAATAAACTCTAGGAATAGTATGAATAGTTGTATTAGTGCGTCTATGTATTTGTAAAACAAAGAAAAAATAGAATAAGAAAATAAAACCTACTTTGAGGGGGTTGAAAACCTTTGGTGGTTCAATTCGAGAAAAATCGGATCTCCAAAATTTCCACAAGAAAAATTTAATATAATATTCAAGATATCTATTTCATTGATAGGAAAACCTTTAAATACAATATAATAAAAATTACCTAGTAACTAAGCTAACCAATGATTCCACTATCTTAGTAACAAGCTAGGGAACTATCCACAAAATACTCTATCATTAACCCACTTACTAAAATAATTCCCTAATAACTACCTCAAATACTACATAAAAAATATATTAAAAATTTTCACATAACATTCCATTTCCCTTTTAAACAAATTTTGTACTCAAAGTTTGATTATCATATACACTGGGAGGCGGCCAACCCACTTCCTTGTTCTCGTAATAATCAACGAGATATTTGGCTTCATAGACTCCTAAAATACCACGATAATGATCCAAAGGGCTGAATTTATATGAGCAGCTTGAACATGCTTCATCAATTGCTCGTCCTTGTAATACGCAATGTCATATTGCACAACAACCATTGGTGAGCTATCTTTAAGTGGGAGTGAGTTCTCTGATAATATATATATATATATATTTTTTGATCACCTACCCTAAGAAAAAGTGGGACCATTATGTATGAGACTGCTCACTCATTAATTATATATGATTTATCGAGAAGAGAACTAGAGGAAACAAATATTGGAAGGGATTTGACTCCCTGCATGACAGATATTCGATTCTTCGACCCTAGTAGAGTACATATAGGTGATTTTGATATATTTTCTGAACAGTAAATAAGTCTACAAAATAAAATCAAATGAAAATGGATGTACATGTCCACTTCCTCCAGAAACATGGTTCTTCTTCACACATTTGCTTTGTGATGTACATTGTATCAGCAAACTGGTATTGTTGCCATTTACTGCGCAGCACATATCAATGTTCGCCTTGCATATTCTCTGCCCCATTTGACCTTTAATGCTTACATGATTATTGAGTTTTTTTTTTTGGTTGCTTTCGTTGGATTAAGTACAGATTAAACTAATCTGTACTTACCCAAAAAAAGGAGCTAATCTGCCTATTGTTAAGATATAAACACTTGGATATAGATATCATATGATCTTTTCATGGCTAGTAATAGAACTTTGAACCACCAGTACTGTACATTGTCTGAAATATGAAAATAACTATATATCCAACAATTTGTATAAGAATTTAATAACCTAGCATCACACAACATCCGTACTTGTACATGATTTTTTACTCAGAATAATCGAAGAAACCCATACAATTACACGTTCTTGGCTCACAATCTTCTGTGTGTTCTTATGAAGTTGGTTGTATTCATTGAAATTGCGGTTGAGCACATGTACACTCCAGCCAAGCACATGGTCGTTGAAAACAAAAGAAGGGCCTTCCATTGCCTTCCAGATATTAAAATTGCCAATGCAGTTGACACGAGAGCGACAATAGAGAGGGCATTTTTCCATGCTCGAAAAGCTTTAACAACATTGCTGCATCCCTTGCAATGTATTACATGTCGAAAATATCTGTTCGCGAGGTTTGGTGCATGCATTGTTCCAATTCCTCCCTTTGCCGGTAAAGATGCTGAAATGCTTGCAAACAAGCCAGCTGGTGCGTGTTCCACCACAGCAGGCTCTAAGGGTGGTGAAATGGTGCTGTGCCCAAAATGATAAGGCATGCCATGCCCAACTTTGTCCATCCACTTCCTGTACTCGACCACCCATGTATCCGAGGACCTTAAGTTAATATACAGTTCCTTTGTGGGAACTCTTTCTTTGATTAGAACTTCGTTCTGGGATGAGAGGAATCCCATATCTTGCTCAAAGACCTTGCTGGCATTCTGGTGGAAGTACCATTCAGGGAATATTTTGACTAACAAAGGGGGCTTCGTTGTGTTTCCGAACCTCACAATGAGCATGGACTTCCCTTGTCCAGATGGTCTACAAAGGAAGAGTCCTGAAAAATATTGTCTCTCTCCTTTCTTGTCAACAATTTCTCTATTATTCTGAAGAACNCATGGTTCTTCTTCACACATTTGCTTTGTGATGTACATTGTATCAGCAAACTGGTATTGTTGCCATTTACTGCGCAGCACATATCAATGTTCGCCTTGCATATTCTCTGCCCCATTTGACCTTTAATGCTTACATGATTATTGAGTTTTTTTTTTTGGTTGCTTTCGTTGGATTAAGTACAGATTAAACTAATCTGTACTTACCCAAAAAAAGGAGCTAATCTGCCTATTGTTAAGATATAAACACTTGGATATAGATATCATATGATCTTTTCATGGCTAGTAATAGAACTTTGAACCACCAGTACTGTACATTGTCTGAAATATGAAAATAACTATATATCCAACAATTTGTATAAGAATTTAATAACCTAGCATCACACAACATCCGTACTTGTACATGATTTTTTACTCAGAATAATCGAAGAAACCCATACAATTACACGTTCTTGGCTCACAATCTTCTGTGTGTTCTTATGAAGTTGGTTGTATTCATTGAAATTGCGGTTGAGCACATGTACACTCCAGCCAAGCACATGGTCGTTGAAAACAAAAGAAGGGCCTTCCATTGCCTTCCAGATATTAAAATTGCCAATGCAGTTGACACGAGAGCGACAATAGAGAGGGCATTTTTCCATGCTCGAAAAGCTTTAACAACATTGCTGCATCCCTTGCAATGTATTACATGTCGAAAATATCTGTTCGCGAGGTTTGGTGCATGCATTGTTCCAATTCCTCCCTTTGCCGGTAAAGATGCTGAAATGCTTGCAAACAAGCCAGCTGGTGCGTGTTCCACCACAGCAGGCTCTAAGGGTGGTGAAATGGTGCTGTGCCCAAAATGATAAGGCATGCCATGCCCAACTTTGTCCATCCACTTCCTGTACTCGACCACCCATGTATCCGAGGACCTTAAGTTAATATACAGTTCCTTTGTGGGAACTCTTTCTTTGATTAGAACTTCGTTCTGGGATGAGAGGAATCCCATATCTTGCTCAAAGACCTTGCTGGCATTCTGGTGGAAGTACCATTCAGGGAATATTTTGACTAACAAAGGGGGCTTCGTTGTGTTTCCGAACCTCACAATGAGCATGGACTTCCCTTGTCCAGATGGTCTACAAAGGAAGAGTCCTGAAAAATATTGTCTCTCTCCTTTCTTGTCAACAATTTCTCTATTATTCTGAAGAACACATGGTGCTTCGAATCGTAAGAAGTTTAGCATGGATTGGTCCTTCTCTATGCCCCACCAGCCTGCAAATCCCCGATCTGTCCTTTCAGCTACCTCAAAGAGTAATGGTTGGGCATCTTCCCTTTTTGCAGACCAATCTGTTCTATCATGTGAGATAGGGACATGAGCTGGATCCATGAGGTTTTCTAGAAGAATGGAGTGATCATATGGAAGTTCATGGATTGTTGAGATATCTCGAAACCCTGGCCTGGCAAAGTTTTCAAACCAAGGAAGTTTTTTAAGATTTGGTGGTGTATTGAGAGACATCCATATCCAAACAACTCCTTGCGAGTCCTTCACCTGATAAGTTTTGACACAAGCTGATAGAGGAATTTTGGCATTTGCAGGAAGCTGTGGGGAACAAAATTTTCAGAAAAGAAAAACATCAAAACGCCAAAACCGTTCTTTATGAATGTAAGTAAATTTGTAATGCATGAAAACAGGGGTTACAGAGACAAGGTGCATTCAGACAAACCTGTGGTATCCTCACACACTTGCCCTCACCTTCAAACTGCCAGCCGTGATATAGACATTCCAGTTTTCCATCAATCAATTGACCTTCAGAAAGTTTTGCCAACCTGAATAAAAAGGGCTTCACTGTCAAGTTTTCAGTGACAATGGGGTTAAAATTTCAAAAGCTGAGCAGCGAAAAAAAACATTTCCCATATTTTGAACAGAAAAAGTTGAACTGCAATTAGCATGACCACCTCACTTTTAAAAGACCAACTAAAGCTACATGAAACAAAAAACATGATCAGATTTCTGCTTAGAATGGGTTACTTGCTTTAAATCAGGGTGCAGGAAGATTGGAAGAAAGTAAGGGTTTAAAAATTTAAACATCAGCTATGAAATATTCATCTGGAAAGACTTAGATAGCTCCTTATCTGTCACTTCATTTCACACTATATTTGTTTCTTCTCATGTGGATGGACAAATTGTTCCATTGGCAGCACAAGAGTGCTGAGAGAATTTATAATGAACTCAATAAAAGTGCAGAACAAAAGAGTAGGAACTAAAACGTATTAAATCTGCATGCACTCTTTAGACAAAGGGGAAATGGGGATGGAGATGTCATGGTAGAATTTCTTTTTCAGACAATCCAAATGATAATTAATTTCATTCAGCTTTAAGCTGCATTTGCTCACTGTAGGAGCTATGGACTGGGGATTGCAGACCTAAATTCCAAATTCACAGAAATTAAGTATCATTTGAATTGTGAAATTTTACTCTAACATTTGCTCAGCTCACATTTCACAGAAACGGTTTACTTTACAATGAAGCAAGAGGACTATACCCAAAATAAGTCCTGGGGACAAAAATTAATAAGCTTATTACAAAGAGAAGAAGGATTTGCTTTATGAAGTAAGAACTTTACTTACTTTATCAACAGAGTCTAGTTCACAGAGCAATGGATAAAGAGCTAAAATACCATCAAATCCTTTCTTCTTTCAATGAAATTAGACAAAGGCTTAATTTTATATGGCGAAGAAATATGGATAGGGTGCTAAGAAAAATAAATGAAAATCAAATATTGAACTATTTTCTCCGAAGGTTACTTAAAGAGCACGCAACCCAGTGTGTANAAGCAAATATTGAACTATTTTCTCCGAAGGTTACTTAAAGAGCACGCAACCCAGTGTGTAACCTTGTCTCCCCTAACCCTTTTTTGGTTGTGCCATTACCAATCATGGGAAACCCTGGTCCATTAGTTTGAAGTGCTAGTGCTGGCTTCTGTACACTTTTGTTTTGTTGGAAATTAGCATCCATATTGAGTCCTAGAAAAAGTGTATAACGGCATGCCACAGTTGCTTTTGACAATTTTCACCACAATCCAACCCACTTTTCGTTCTTTNATGGGAAACCCTGGTCCATTAGTTTGAAGTGCTAGTGCTGGCTTCTGTACACTTTTGTTTTGTTGGAAATTAGTATCCATATTGAGTCCTAGAAAAAGTGTATAACGACATGCCACAGTTGCTTTTGACAATTTTCACCACAATCCAACCCACTTTTCGTTCTTTCCCTTGTGCATGAGCGCACATGTATATTCAATGCTTTACTAGTGTTTCCCGGAAACGGATCGTCAATGAAAGACCAACTGTAGGCTGCAGTTAGTTCACATGGTTCTTATGCAATTTGTCCATAATTCATGTAGTTGTGATGAAATTGGTTAGTTGGGGAATATGAAGCAGTTATGGTACTGGCCTTGGTTTCTTAAAGTGATATGCAAGCTTTACATAAAGTATTTTCCTTTGTCCTGCTCACAGTCATCGTAAGCCCACTCACTTTCTTTCTCACTAGTGATTCCCTTCTCCAACCAGCAGCTTCTATTACCATAAAATTTTCATGCACTAAATCTGAACCTTATGGAATGCCATTTCTCAAGCATAGCGAGTCGAGATTCAAAGATGCCAGGTTCTAATTCATCCGCAGCCACAGTAGTAATCTAATACTCTTGTGTCTGCTAAAAGATGCTACTCCACCTTTGACAGTTTTTCTCAGGTCACAATCCTTCAATTTATACCTTGAATGAGTTGATTGAGTCTTTTGAAGCCTTTTACCATGAATTTTCAGCAGAAAATTTCAAGTACATTCTGCAAATTTTTTACATATCTTGCATATCAACTACTAGTCTCTCTGTTAAATGATAGTATGTTACTAGCCTGACTTCAAGAAACCTTATTATTTTCAGATTATTATTTGCCAAGCTATAAAGTGATCATATAATTTTTTTTTGTCAAACAATGCTATTAGAATGTCTTGCAACTCATAGTTAAATATAGATAGTAAAACTCTAATTATGAATCCTTAATATCAAATTAAAATGATTCCAAATTGAACCCTATGTGAGTCCAGCAAGAAACATAAGTTAAAGAACAGGGCATTCTAATTGAATGCTATCCCAACAAATGATCAAACACACTACAAGTCTGGATTAAAAATCCAGCCGAAGTGTATGGAATCAACCTATCCTACTCTTCTTCCAGATATAAGAACTACATAACTGACAGTATCATAACTTATACCAAAAACAGATCTTCAAACCCAGGTCCTAGAACATCAGTCAGTCCAAAACATGCATCCAATCAGAGCCCATATTACTAATTCAGAGGCCAAGAAGATAAAAAAAACTTATAAATTATAAATTAAAATCGAGGATTAAAATTTTGTTTTGGGGCATCGATTTGGTAGGCTGAAATATTTTCAATATGTTTTGAAAACACTTTTTGATAATGCACAAAGTTGATTATGCACGATTAAATCAGTCGGAGTGTGTGGTGTACAATAATTAATGAAACAATTAATAATAAGAGATAAGGATTAGGTGGTAAGGTCTGGATGACCTAACCGCGGAAGGCGTACAAGGTAGTAGGAGAGAGAGATCGTTTTGTTTCGATTTCCATGAAAACTTCGAAACAGAGAAATTTTCATTCCTGTTCAGATAACTATATAACACCACAGACAGAGCAGTAGCAGAAGGTAAAGTCACCACAAAAATGACAATGGAATTACCTGTGGGGGCACCGATCTTCGTGACAACGAAGCTCACCATTGCCATCACGATACAATACAATCTGTTTGTCAAAGACAGTGAGGCCCAGAGGAGCATCATCTGGTAAATTCTTGGTGAGATATAGAGGGTACCATTCTTCAGTCCAGTCATAATCCACCACTTCCCTCACACCCCTTACTTCTTCTTGACTAGATCGATCCACAAGAATACTTTGATCATTTTCACCTTCCACTGAAACCCCACCACCAATCTCTGCAACTGCATGGCTCTTTGCCCATTGTTTCTTTACTTGTCTGGGATTTTGATAAGGTTTCAGTGGTTGTAGGAGAGAGACCACTGTTCTTGTTCTTTGAGATGTGAGGCGTGGGTGTGAGAAATGGAGGGTCTTGGAGAGAGAAGTGTCAGAGAAAAATGGTTGCAACAAAGCCATTTCTCTTTTGAGAAAATGGGTTGCTGGTGGAACAAGAGAAATGTAGTTTGTAGAAGAAATAAAGACATTTTGGGAGAGAGAAAGTTAGGAAGTGAAGGTCGTTGCTTCTTGTGTTGGGGCACTAATTCTGGCCACAGAACATCTGAGAAGGCTAATATTCTAGAAAATTCAACGACTTCGTTTGATTACTCCATATCACAAAAAAAATTGGGATCCTTGAATCTGAAATAATAATACGAATGCATTTCATAATAAATTAACAAATAGCAAAACTAAACTTCAATTATTCATAAGGATAAATATTAGATTACATGAATTAGTAACTATTATATATTATATATATGTTACCTTCATATTTGTCAATTTAGTACTAGATCAAATACTGAGTGGTAGACGCCACCTCACTTATTCCCAAGTGATAATTATTAAATTCATGAATTAGTAAGCATGTTCTTGTATAGATTTTGACGGTGCACAATATAAGTTAGGCACAATCTAACAGTAAGAGTGTATGATACAAAACAATTAACAAAGACAAAGATTGAGTGGTTAGGACTAGGTGGTCTAACTATTAAAAGCGGCAACAATGGTCAAAGAACTTTTATTAACGAGAGAATAAAGTAATAGGTGAGAGAGAGAGAGAACTTACATGTGTGTGGGATAAATGTGTGTCCCTCATGTGTAGAGAACTTAAAATTTATAGGCACAAAGTTCTAGTTGAAGCGGTGGCGTGAAGGTTATCTCTGAAAGGATAGTTACAATTAAGAATAGACGTGATTTTCGATTAATGACAATCCCGATGATTGTTTGTGTGTTGACTTTTTTAGATCCCTTGAACTTTAAATTAAACTGAAGTCATAAGTTAAGTTTGACTTTTCTTTTGACCATTTGGGTTTTTATCTACGAATTGGGCCTAGGCTAGTCGGGGCTCATAATTCGATTTTATTATATATTTCTTAGTTTATTATTAAATGGTGATAGATGTGCCCTCAACAATAATAAGAAATAAAAAATAAGAATCTTAGCCCGGGGAAATCAAGTTTTTTTAAGACAGATTTACTCCCTCTCGTTGATCAAAGTTAATAACCAACTGCCTCTCAAGATTGAATGGATTTCCTCAATGAAGTAACAACACTTCTATCTTCAAAGACCAATGAACACAACTTGTGTTTTGTATTTGAATTAAACAAAACAATAATACAATATGTAGAAAGAGAAGAAAATAGTATGCATAATTTTGGAATTTGGATGATTGAAAATGAGTGTAAGGGAGTCCTTTTATAGACTTCTTTGTGTCTGGTCAGATTGCCTGAATAGACATGAGACGCCACTGTTTGTTATGTTTGTTTGGTTTGTTTGAATAGACACGAAACACTACTATTCGTTGTGTCTGTTCAGATGACGAATAATAATGTCAGGACAATGTATCTCTAGAGTGTGAATAGACACAAATAAATTTGACGCCAAATTCAAAAATAACGAATGAAAGTTTGAATTTCAATTGAAAGACTAAGTGTGATTCATGTTTGGATCTGTTTGATTTGACCCACAACCCACACTGCACCAAATAAAATTTTAGCAAAAAGATAAGTTCTTTTTGACCCAAACCCAAGCCTGGCCCAGTTGGGTTGAGGTGGGCGGTGCATATGCGTAGTAACCAAGGTTGTGTAACTATGCTTGTCCGTTCACAAATATGTGGCACCCCTTAGTGCCTAACCCATGAAACCAACTAAGAGTATATTAACTCACTAAATTTTTGGTTTCCTTCGGATGTGGGACAAGCCTTATTACTATACCATATCATTCTTAGTTTTTTCAATCTATTCAATTGCGTCAGTTTGAGACAAAATTTCTCATTCAACACTTAATAGTTTTGAATAAATAAATATACCACGTCAATCTTTTCATAAAGTAAAATGCATTTAAACTTGGTCTCACTTTTATTTTAGTGTGAATCTCCCTTTTATTTAAGCCTAAAATTACTCAAAATAACTTTTATCAAAACTATTTTTTCCAACAAGTCTTACATGTTAGCGACATTGTAAACCCCCACATGTCTAAACTATTAATAATCGTCCAATTAGCTTTGTTTTGCATTTAACGTCTCCATTTACATCCTAAATCAAAATATAAGAATAATAAGTATATTTAAACTCCAAATAAGTATAACAGACTAAATATTAAAAGAGAAATAAAAATGATATTTTACATTCNGTTGAGAAAATGGGTTGCTGGTGGAACAAGAGAAATGTAGTTTGTAGAAGAAATAAAGACATTTTGGGAGAGAGAAAGTTGGGAAGTGAAGGTCGTTGCTTCTTGTGTTGGGGCACTAATTCTGGCCACACAACATCTGAGAAGGCTAATATTCTAGAAAATTCGACGACTTCGTTTGATTACTCCATATCACAAAAAAAATTGGGATCCTTGAATCTGAAATAATAATACGAATGCATTTCATAATAAATTAACAAATAGCAAAACTAAACTTCAATTATTCATAAGGATAAATATTAGATTACATGAATTAGTAACTATTATATATTATATATATGTTACCTTCATATTTGTCAATTTAGTACTAGATCAAATACTGAGTGGTAGACGCCACCTCACTTATTCCCAAGTGATAATTATTAAATTCATGAATTAGTAAGCATGTTCTTGTATAGATTTTGACGGTGCACAATATAAGTTAGGCACAATCTAACAGTAAGAGTGTATGATACAAAACAATTAACAAAGACAAAGATTGAGTGGTTAGGACTAGGTGGTCTAACTATTAAAAGCGGCAACAATGGTCAAAGAACTTTTATTAACGAGAGAATAAAGTAATAGGTGAGAGAGAGAGAGAACTTACATGTGTGTGGGATAAATGTGTGTCCCTCATGTGTAGAGAACTTAAAATTTATAGGCACAAAGTTCTAGTTGAAGCGGTGGCGTGAAGGTTATCTCTGAAAGGATAGTTACAATTAAGAATAGACGTGATTTTCGATTAATGACAATCCCGATGATTGTTTGTGTGTTGACTTTTTTAGATCCCTTGAACTTTAAATTAAACTGAAGTCATAAGTTAAGTTTGACTTTTCTTTTGACCATTTGGGTTTTTATCTACGAATTGGGCCTAGGCTAGTCGGGGCTCATAATTCGATTTTATTATATATTTCTTAGTTTATTATTAAATGGTGATAGATGTGCCCTCAACAATAATAAGAAATAAAAAATAAGAATCTTAGCCCGGGGAAATCAAGTTTTTTTAAGACAGATTTACTCCCTCTCGTTGATCAAAGTTAATAACCAACTGCCTCTCAAGATTGAATGGATTTCCTCAATGAAGTAACAACACTTCTATCTTCAAAGACCAATGAACACAACTTGTGTTTTGTATTTGAATTAAACAAAACAATAATACAATATGTAGAAAGAGAAGAAAATAGTATGCATAATTTTGGAATTTGGATGATTGAAAATGAGTGTAAGGGAGTCCTTTTATAGACTTCTTTGTGTCTGGTCAGATTGCCTGAATAGACATGAGACGCCACTGTTTGTTATGTTTGTTTGGTTTGTCTGAATAGACACGAAACACTACTATTCGTTGTGTCTGTTCAGATGACGAATAATAATGTCAGGACAATGTATCTCTAGAGTGTGAATAGACACAAATAAATTTGACGCCAAATTCAAAAATAACGAATGAAAGTTTGAATTTCAATTGAAAGACTAAGTGTGATTCATGTTTGGATCTGTTTGATTTGACCCACAACCCACACTGCACCAAATAAAATTTTAGCAAAAAGATAAGTTCTTTTTGACCCAAACCCAAGCCTGGCCCAGTTGGGTTGAGGTGGGCGGTGCATATGCGTAGTAACCAAGGTTGTGTAACTATGCTTGTCCGTTCACAAATATGTGGCACCCCTTAGTGCCTAACCCATGAAACCAACTAAGAGTATATTAACTCACTAAATTTTTGGTTTCCTTCGGATGTGGGACAAGCCTTATTACTATACCATATCATTCTTAGTTTTTTCAATCTATTCAATTGCGTCAGTTTGAGACAAAATTTCTCATTCAACACTTAATAGTTTTGAATAAATAAATATACCACGTCAATCTTTTCATAAAGTAAAATGCATTTAAACTTGGTCTCACTTTTATTTTAGTGTGAATCTCCCTTTTATTTAAGCCTAAAATTACTCAAAATAACTTTTATCAAAACTATTTTTTCCAACAAGTCTTACATGTTAGCGACATTGTAAACCCCCACATGTCTAAACTATTAATAATCGTCCAATTAGCTTTGTTTTGCATTTAACGTCTCCATTTACATCCTAAATCAAAATATAAGAATAATAAGTATATTTAAACTCCAAATAAGTATAACAGACTAAATATTAAAAGAGAAATAAAAATGATATTTTGCATTCTCATCAATTAGCTAGTTTAGAGGAATTGAAGAAAAATATTGATGGATATACTAGTTCTACATCATGTTGTTATAAATGATTCTAGGAGATGGATGATAATTTGGTTTTGGTTAATGAATAATGCTAGACATGGATTTTTATACAAGTCATACTATCTATATTGGAGATGAGTATGGGATAGAATTTGTGACAAAAGACACCTAAACTTGAGTTTGACAAGTATAGAAGAACCAAGCAGTTCGGTAAACTACCTTTCACCAATTTGATCATAACTCTTTGTTGAAAAGTCCAAATTGTGTACCGTTATTTTTCTTAGAACCCTAACTCGTATATCTTTCCAACCATATAGGTCACACATACTAGAAATATCTGAGTCAAATCAGTTTATTCTCCGAAGTTAATCAAAAATTTATATTGTGGTGTTCCTTGAATAGTAAAGTGTTGTACTTGTACTTTCTTCTTAGACTTTGAAGGTGTAAACCCTCACATATTTATCTTAATATAGTAATGTATTTTTTTAGTGATTCTTATATATGTTATGATGTAAAAATAAACCATATATATTGAAATCGTAAGAATAAATATTAGGGAAGAATAAAATAATAATTTTAATGTTTTGAGTGTAAATTTATTTTAGTTTTGAAATAAATTATAAAAATAAATATTTTTAGGTTAAAATAATA